ACCATTTTCTATCTTTAATTGTTGCACGTTCAGTATATAAAACACGAACACATTATATCATAAGAAAAAAATATGTTTTCAAAAATTTTACGTCTTTATATTAACCGTTTGTCTTATTAAGATAGATTAGCACAAAATCCCGTTCTCTGTCACTGTTCATTTCTGCTAGAGTCAAGGGGTTACTTCAGCAGACTGATAAAATATACATGTTGAATGCATTATTGAACATGTTTTTTTCTTCTTTTTTATAAACACGCATATATATCAGATATTTGCAGAGATAATATCATGTTGAGTAAATTATTATAAGGCAACATACACTTATATAAAAAATGATTGTAAAATGAAAAACAGCAAGATGTAAAAGCAACAAAACGACTATCATTATTTAACTGGTTGTTATGTTGTGATGACAAAATGAAAACAAAACAATTAGTGAAATTGTGAGATCGGAGAAAAATATTTTGATCAAATAAGAATCAGAATTCAAGATTCCAAAAGAATGATCGTGTGAAGAATATGTAATACTAGCAGCATGGCCCGGCGTTGCCCGTTCTTGATTCAAAAATCGTACGACTCATACAGCAATCGCTATCACTTGACTTAAATATTTTTGTCCTTCCTTGCCTTTAAATGTATGCCCTTTGCCATGCTGATGTTGCTACATGCCTTACTTATTGTCTATCTCACAGTGCGAATTTTTTCTAAGCTCTATACTAAACATTAAATATGTTACGAAAAAAGAACTAAACAAAATGAACACAAAACGATCAGCTTTAAAAAAGGACTCGTAACTGGAAAAAACAAATGAAAAAACAATGTTAACAACAAATACTTTTTCACACCCAACCCAGTTTCCTGAAATATTGAGACTGGTCATATTACTTGGGCGGGGTTGTTGTTACCCTTGTTTTGTTAACCCGGTACTTTGGAAACCATACATTGATCCGATTTTCAGTTCAAATAAAAAGAGCTCAAAAGTGTTTAACAACGCGAAGTCAACAGAACAGAGTCCAAAATGAGGTGAAAAGCTTAGATGTACCGGGCCGCGTAGTGCAGGCGAGACAGTCAACTTAAACCCCCCAAAATCCATATGACCTGTGAGTTAATCGGTATTTTTACAAAGTTTGACTCCCAAATAAAAAATCGGGCTCCGACATGACACAATGACGAAAATCGGATCTGGGATGCGGCATGGGAGAAAGAACAAAGTTTAAAGAAGTGGGAAATGGACTGCTGAGCGCATGGTCAACACGCAGGTTTGTATCGATTTTTGAGTCACGACGGGGTCAAGCAGCATTCTATACAAGGCACCTCTGAGTGGGCCGCGTAGGAATTTCTGGTTGAATTGTAAAGAAAGTCCGAAATTTTAGAATGTAATCCGCCCAAATACCGGAGCACCGGCAGATTTACCAATTTTTTGAAAGCCTGAATCCAAATTGTAAATCTGTCTCCGTTACGAATTGACGCCGTAAATGTCGGAAGTTGAATCACCACTGCAGAACTGAAAAGACCTATTACTCTTCGATTTGAATGGTCAAACTGAGGAAGCTTCTCGAGGATAAACTTTACTCGATTACATTGCAACAACATCTAACTGCTCACGCATTGTGATGCTGATTGTGGAAGCAACAGCGCCGTCTTTTAGGCAAAAGATGCGTCCCTTTTTGCATTCAGCGATTGGTTGCATGCGAAAAAGATGTCAAGACTTGAATTTTTTTGTGTTCAGCGATATCTCTATTCAAAACCACAAATCCAGCATTCAATATGTTTGATTTGGCAGGGACATCAATTTCCTTTCATGGAAAGGAAAAATGGAATGTGTTTTGCTGAGGAATGACTGAGGACTTCAGTGTAGACCACATTTTTAGATTTTTTGCTAGGGCGAATAAAGGAGCACATCCTCCCGCCTGCCGACTCGAGAGCAGGCGACGTAAATTGGCCGTGTGAGAAGCACTGATCCTCTAAATGTACACCAGTCACAGACAGCGTTTTTCCTTGGGCTTTATTAATTGACATAGCAAAACAGGATGCGAATGATAATTGGGATCTTCTGAAAATGAAGGGTACGTCGGTATCTGATGGATACAAATACCGCGGCCAGTTATAATTTTAGCTCAATAATATTTGGATTTAGGGGCTGAATAACCAACCATGTCCCATTAGAGATTCGGTTTACGCAGTTTTCTAAGCAACATAACAGGGATCTCTACTTTAAGTTTCAGAATGTGAGGAGGGAGACCAGAGGGTGGGGGCTGTTTAAGAACTCCACTGGAACGTTTGCCATTTCAGCGGGGTCTGGAGTTATGTCAATGGATTTGTAAATGTGCAACACACCTGGCACAGTTTCCAGAAGCTGTATATTAAGGTTTGTCACAGTGGTGTTTTTTGATGCAAGAATGGCTCGCCCAGCAAGCCATTCAATATTGTTTAGTTGGTTTGAAGCTCAGGAAAAACTGATTACCTGAGTGTTGATGGCGTTTTGACCATTATAGACAACCTTTGGACGTTTACAAATACATTAGTGTCCGCTGGAATAATACATTCGCTAGGGCTAATAATGAATTCGAAAATTGGCGGACCCAACATCGTCAGTTAGATGGGCACGCATGTTGGTGGTAAGGTGCAATGGTCTAACAGTGGGGCGAAGTTGTAACGATTTCAAGCACGCTCGAATATTTTCGGCGCTTGTCCCCTTGGGTACAACGGAGAGGGTCTAGCGAAAGTCACCGGATAGAAGGACAGTTAAATATCCCATAAAGTCATCATAGTTTTGAAAATCCTTTCAGAGAACGGTTTACAGCCTCGAGTGCAGTTTTGGTCTGACAGTGCACTCATCCCAGACGCTGAGCTTACATCGCCTGAGTACCTCCGCTAGACCTGATTGCTTGTCTATACTGCATGCAGCTGTTTCTGTCTTAATCAGGTCAAGCGGAAGTTTAAAGTGTGCACTGTTCTGCCACCCGGTAGTAATGTGTCAGCATTGCCTGAAGACGCTACTGCTAGCGCCACTTCGCCATTGCGCCGAATTTCTGCAAGAAGCAGTTTTGTTACGAACGATTTTCCCGTTCCACCAGGCGCGTCCAAGAAGAAAATTGATCCTGTATCCTGCCTGGTGGATGCAAGAATCAGATCGTAAGCGGCTCTTTGGTCTATGAGATGTTTTGGCTCATTTGTTGTGACATAGGCGTTGGTAGGAGGTCTCAGCATAATCTCAGGTGAGAGACTGGAGGAAGCCACATGATCTGGCGTTTGAAGCCCAAAAGCGGCGAGAGATAAACCCCTCATTTCAACAAAAAAGTTTCTCAATGATTATAAGCGCCCTGTTGTGAATTTCATCGTTGAATGTAAGAGCCATTGTTGGACACAGCAGTTGCGCTTCTCTGAGTATGTCTTCGGACAAAAAGTCCTTGTATTTGTCCCAAAGTGATTTGGGTTCGCACATTTGCAAGATTGTGGTGAAGACCTGGCCCAAAGCAGAGGATATTTTTCAAAGATCTCCCTCAGCCATTAATGCAGCTCTCTGGTTATGTCTTCCAAAAGGCCGAGAAGGAGGCAGGCCTCACGAAAAGTGTCACATAAAACTCCATTAACCGTCCGTAAGTCATTGTAGCTCGTTGGACCACTTACTTGTAGAAATGTGACGCAAGTAAAAACATTCCTTTCGTGATGGGGGAAAGGTGAATACCCTACCGAGTGTAGCGTCTTTTTTGAGGCGTGGATAGAACTCGACGTTGGCCTCGCACTTCCGCCGAGCCCAGGTGTTCATTTTTGTCCACACATAGTATGAAGGCACTTCTGGGTACAGTAGAGTCCTAGCAAACTCGTCCTGTCGGCAAAGTTTGAAGAACGCTGTAAGCGTTGTGTCTTTGGTACGCGCAGCCATTGTTGTATCCGCAGAAAAATAACGAAGTTCGTGTTTTTCTAGGTGCAGAGCAAGCTGGACGATTGCTGGAATGGATTCGTGGATGGGGAAGCTGAATATGTGCCAAGGGCCCTCTGTGCTGCTAATGACGCGCCCTGCATAGAAGTCCTGCATTTCGTCTACGGAACTTTCCTGCCTAATACCAAATATTGCAGCATCAGTCTCTTTGTTGATTTACTTCCATACATACTTGATGGAGCGAACTGAATGGCAATCTTCGACATTGATGTGCGCATTGAACTCTTTTGTTAGCAGCGTACAGTATGGCACTACCCATCTGTTATCCACTTGGTGGCCCTTTAACACGGCTGTAAATCCTCCCTCATCGGAACTCCTTCACCGGTATAGTGGATAACCAGCGCTCTCTGTAATGGTTTCGCTCACGAAATCTCGTTGGTACTGCCTGATGCATTTGCCGTTGCTGTTGTGACAACTGTTGTAATTGTAATGCGACCCGCAGGGACCATGAATCATGTTTGTTGTCACTATTTCGTACAATTCAGGGTCAGCCGAAGGATCAGGAATTTCCTCCGAAATAAGATGATCGATTTCTGTGGCCTCAAACTTGTCGCACAGACAAATTAGTATATGTGCGTGAGGCAGGCCGCGATCCTGCCACGCAGTAGTGTGCATGCGACGGCAAACAGCCCTAAAAACCTGTCCCTTTATAATCACATACATTAGCTCTCCCAACTTCAGATGGTAAACATACGCAATGAGGTCTGGACGGTCGTAGGCCGATTGCACTGGTGTAATTTCTTTAGCAATTGCGTACCATTTTGGGTTACACGAAAGTTATGAATAGGTCTGGACGGCTGTACTTACGAACGTATGCCATTGCGTCTTGCGTCCTCGCGTGCATGTATCTTGGACTGCCTGTGAACGTTGCGGGTACTATGCACATCTTGTCTATATTGCGTGGATCAGCCTCATTCCGTAAAGCATCACGGATGTAAACGTCAGAGTCGCAGCGCAACTTGGTCTGATTCAATCTGATATAACAGAGTCTTTTCGCATTCCATCTTAGCATCCATGTCTACTTTGCCGGCTTCGATGAAGATGATTGAATGCACCCTCATGTACCATCAATAGGTAGGCGTAGAAAGCCCTGCAAGACACTGCTTTTTACGGTGGACTCATTTTGCAGGATTCCAAGGTTGTACCCATCTTCGCCATGAGGGAAGAGAAGTGGGTATTGCAATGCATCGTAGGACCGGTGCGTTTCACTGATTCTTCGGAGCCCACTGCCGCGCGATGCGATAACAATGTCACGTCTGTTGTGCTGATCACCGCTGACAATGACGGAAACTTCGTTACTTGTGGGAGCATTGTAACGACGTTCGTGCTCTCCCTGAGGCCGTTTGTCAGAATCAATTACAATAATGAAATCAGAAGAAGTTTTATTTTCGAGACCATAATTAAAACTGCAGACATAGCTGTTTGTCTCGTGGAGCATTTGTTGGAGTCTCATTATGATATCCCTGCGAGGATGATTGTCCTGGCCTGTATCGTTCTCGGGTATAATGCTCATGCGGGCATCTGCCTGTTGATTGTAGTCAGCTATGAAGTATATTTGTAGAAAGGCCGAATCAGTGGCAGTTTCCGGCAAAAGAGATCCAATCCGGTGGTAAACCTGACCTTGAGCCTTGAAGGTGGGATTCCAATCGACTTCGCAGAAGGCATTACCACCAAAAGAGGTCATCTGGAAGGCACAATTGTACTGTCTGATTTTTGTAAGGAAATGTTTTGAGTCTGGATTGGAATCCTCCAACAGAGCTTTCAACGGAGCGGGTAGCTCTTGAAAAGTTTGCAACTGGACCTTACCGTCTGAACAACACAAACCTGCAGACTCTCAAGTCCATTTTTTGGCAACTGAGATGGATCCTATTTGGAAGTCTTTGCGACCGGAAAGCCTCAAAACTGGCTCATAGTTGAACGCTAGCTTAAAACAAAACTGCTAACAGAGCCCTCGCTGTGCATGGCGGCGCTGGTTAACAGTGTGCAACCTTTCAAGCCCTTCAGTAGGTCCTTCTACAGCTCTAGCAGCGGAAATTGAAATTGCATCGCGCTGCCGTCTTTTGCGCTTTTGCGCAGAACTTTCCGACTTACTTGCAGCAGAAGTTGCAGCGGCGTCGGCTGCATGGCGAACGATTTTATCAGCCATGGATTCCTGGGTCCGGCGAATGGACGTTGCCGTAGCTTTCGCTGCGTTACGTGCGGTTTTCTCAGCCGTGGTCTCCTGGGACTGTCGAATGGATGTTGCAGCGGCGTCGGTTGCATTGCGAGTAGCTTAAATATTTAATACATGATTCTTCACGTATCAATTACGCTGAGGAAATGATTTGGTCGCTTATCCTAGTGTTACTTGACCATAATTTTAAATCTTACTGTGTAAGATTTTATGATAAAATGAGATTCATTTAATATATATATTCAAACTAATTGTATTAGAATTATTTCCAATAACGATCTTGAAGATGTGTAAAGTTATTGAATCAGAGATAGCTTATTAATAAACACATTTTATATATATATATATATATATATATATATATATATAAATGTGTGTGTGTATAAACACATTTTTATATATATATATATATATGTGTGTGTGTGTGTGTGTGTGTGTGTGTGTGTGTGTGTGTGTGTGTGTGTGTTTGTGTGTGTTTGTGTGTGAAAATATATAGAAAATAGGAAAGAACTCGTTAGGTAAGTAATCCAAAGTTCTTTAGTATTTTTGTTATTATTTTGAAAAAATAGTGCTCGATACAAAAGTAGAGCCTAAATATAATTAATTATTTAAAAATATGATTCCATCGCTACATAAGAGTTCTCATGTTTCAAAACAACAGCCGAAAACTTTAATATAATTATTTGAATTAAATTGAATTAAAGTACCAAGCCCTGTTCCATCTTCAAGCGAAATTCTTTGAGAATTAATAATACTTGAAATTTACGCGTTTGATAAGAATATTCATTATTAAAATTAAATTACTATGATACCGGCTAAAGCAATTATTTTAAAAAAGGATTAATAATTGGTATCAGAATCTCAGTTACATCAGGTCAAGTCAGTGTAAAGTTGGGGTGTCTAAATTCAAGGCGGAAGATGGCATCGTCTTGTCTGGTGAAGTGTCTATGGAGATTTATTTATTTTTTTATTCTTTTTTTTAAAGGATTTTGTGTATATAAAAAATGTCATAATACGCTAACATTTGTTTTTTGACGACTTCATAAAGGGTTTTCTTTATTATTGTGTAGGGCATTTAAACTTTTATTAGACTATGCAGTTTAAAATTTGTATTTATTATTTTATTGTTTTTTTATGTTAATTATTTAATGCGAAAAATTGATGATGTCGGAAAAATACCGTTAACTGATGTCTATTGTTTAATAAATTTTCATTATTTAGAAACTTGATAATGTGTAGTTTTTCATGTAGGCATGAATTTGTTAGGACAACTGTTAAAATACAAAGACGGTGGCAATGTGAAAAACAATGTATTTTCTATATGCAGTGTCTTTCAGATCGTTATCGATTATGGCTCTCCCCAATCTCCTGTTTTTAGTAGCTTTTAAATGATTAATTTAGAAAAAAGCTCTTAATGCATAAATAATGCGAACATAAGCTGTATAATTTGGAATCCTTTACTTAAATTTCCTTTAAATCAGCTTCTTCCACAGCTCAGCAGAAATTTTCAAAATGACTTCTGTAGCTGTTATCTTGAGGGACAATATATTATTCAGTTTTCTTGCAAAGTCGAATGTCATATCGTATTGCACTGTCTTTGATATCAACTCTTATCCTGAAAAATTGGGAATTTGTCAAATGTCATCTTTCCCCTTGGAGAATATCTTTCTTCATTCGTTGGTCTCTTATTTGTTGATAAAGAATATATTGAAGAATCATGCAGTAAGTTAGAGTAAAGAGAGTTTATAAATAATAATAATTTAGCAAATAAACTAGTCATACATAGAAAATAAATCCGACTACATTTTCGATCTGAAAATGGCATACTCATCAAAATAGAAAACAATTTACGTAGAAGGAAAATTCTCGAGAAATGCGACACAGAATATTATCAAAATGTCAACTACGCCGTTTTTCATCGCACTCTTTCCTAAAATACATCTTCTTGTGGCTTTGGTAAACATCATCAGTGATGTTTCTAGCCTAGGTTCATTAGGGTTTTCTGGTCTTTCAACATCATGCATCCTCTCCACGGTGAACCAGCCGATACTGATCGGGTATCAACTTGTGTTAGCTACAGTTTTTCCATCTCTATAACTACAAACTGCGACTGCCATGGGCAAAATATAGCCCACTCCCAGAAAAATTTCCGTTTCTCCAGCAATGTGCGCACTTCCATAAAAAAAGAAAAGAAACGCACACACAATTTCTATCTTGTCAGAAACTTGCGGGCCTTCTCGGGCCTTCGCGGGCCTTCTCGGCTTGAAGTGGTAAGTAACGATTTGTTTCCCTCACTGAGACACATACGAAAACGTGCTCAAGAATCACGTTCCATTTCCGTTCATGCTATTCTTTCGCCTGAAGGAGAAAAAAGTTGTGCGTTTTTTTCGTTGACCGTCCCCCTGCATGAGTCACACACACACACACACACACACACACACACACACACACACACACACACACACACACACACATCAGCGCCGAAACAATCACGCACCAATATACAAAACATACATAAATGAATAACTTAAATGAACAGATATATAAAATATAGCATAGACCTAGTAAAGAGTAAACAGGTGCTACATCTCAGCAAGAGATCACCTGTAGGTTACAATGGGTCAGATTATGCTAATTCTGTATCTTATTCGAGTCATGTCATAACCAAAACAATCCCCTCAATTTATAACAAAATATCTCAACAATAAAAGAAAAATCAATCGCTAATTATTTTTATCTCCTTACCGATTGATATCCATTTGGTCTTTTCAACAATAACTCACTGATGGATTTTTCTGCTACCAATGTTTTGAGCCGATAGCCTTGTGTTTTTTTTTAAAGATATTGTTGCAAGAATTGCTAGAACATTATCATATCGCCATCGGTAACGCGCATCGTTAAGGAATTTAGGGAAAGCGCTCAATACGTGTTGGAGGAATCCTCTCTTCTGACAAAATGGGCATAGTGGAGACTCGATCTCTCCCCACGTGTGGAAGATTCCTTGACTGGGCTATCACGGTCTGCACAAGGAAGATTACTGGGATTAATATAACAGAGGTCTGTCCAGAAAATCCACTTTTCCAGTTTTCACCATATTATATATCAATATAATCTTCAATTTTATTTTCTAAACATGTCAAATACTCACTAATAATGGGAATCATCTCGGTAACGCAGGTTTTGCGAACTAAGGGAAATCTATCCGAATCATCTACCTTCATTCTTTTCTGCCATGTTGCAACTTTTTTCTTAAAAGCAACTAATTTATCTGTTGCCATAAGAATATTTTCATTTCTGCCTTGCATATTGCTGTTCAGACTATTGAGATGTCTAAATATATCATTTAAGTACTCTATTTTAGACATCGACAATTAATTTTTATGGTGTTTACAAAACCTATCAAGTTATTCATTTTCAAAAAAAAATAAAAAGTTCTTTCTGAAGATCAATTACGCGAGATATCACGTTTCCATTCGATAACCATCTTACTTCTGTATGCAATAGTAAACGAACATAATTCATATCCTTGAACAACAACTCAAAAATTCTTGACTTCAAAGGCCGAGTTTTTATGAAATTTACCATCTCAATCACTTGATTCATCACCTTTTTAGTTCATTTTGTGCTATCTGTAAAATTAATACCTCTCTGTGTAAAAAACAATGAGTTCGCACGATGTAAGGATTCTGTTTTTCTACTAAAGAAGCGAAACCAACTTTGGCAGTGTGGAATCGTTCATCATTGAGAAATCTTCTGATATACTGGCTCTCTGCGAGACCAACTTCAACTCGTTTATCCGCTCCTCTGACGTCTCGATCGCCCATTCCTTTCTACTCCTTAGAAAAGACTCCCAATTCCCCATGCATGGCCTAGGAGTTTACGTCAAGGACCATCTCCCATTGGCTAGATAAATCTCGCTCTCTCTCTCACTCTCTCTTATTTCCTGACTCCGCATAGTTTGTATCTGTCTGTATATCCTCAATGCTCTCCATCCTCCCATGATTATGGTGTACTGGAAAGCATTTCCGACAATATCGACAAGGCTATCTCACTTCATCGTTAGTGTGCGGTGACTTAACGCCCATCATGCCAAGTGGCTTCAAAACTCTATAACTGACCTTCCTGCTCTACAAATCCTTAACTTCTCAATTACTCAGTCCTAAGTGGTTGACTTTTCTCAATAACCATAACGGCAAGGCTGCCCTTCTCGATCCGGGTTTCACCTCCATCCCCTAAGTTTTTCCTGTCTCTCAGCTCTGAGCATTTGGCAATACTGATATTGCTGTAACGTCTGTCAACTCTCCTTCTACCCAACCCCCAGCAAAGAAACTCTACTAGCAGAACATCTTTCTGTTATCAACGAGCTGACTGGGACACGTTCCGTGATTTCCTTCGCGATGTCCGCTGGAATGTGGTCTTTATGTCCCCGTTTAAGAATGCTCTTCAAAGGTCTCCTCCTGGGTAAAAGCTGGAATGGAGGCTTTGATCCCCGCAAAGAAATATAAGGTTAAATCACGCTCATCCACTTGGTTCACTGTTGCTTGTTCTGCTGCAATTACCCATGGGAATCACTACTTCTGCCTGTACCGTAGTGACATGTCAGACTGCAACAGACCTCTCTGTGTCTCAACCCGTAAAGAGTGCATACGTGTTCTCAATGAAGCCAAATCACTATTTGCTTATAGAATGAAACAACGTATTGCATCTCCGAAATTCGGCTCCAAATATTCTTGGCGTCTCTGCAAGAGCGTACATAACGACAGCAAACCCACAAGACTTTTTTGGTCAACCGATTTGATGTCCTTACTTCCTCAGCTGATAAGGCCGAGTGCTTTGCTCCTAAATTCTCGTAAAATTTAATTCAACGCTTGACATCCGCTGTACCCACACCCGATTTCCCCCTAGAAACTGCGGCACCGATGAGCGATTTGCACAAACCCCATCATTATTATTAGGCATCACCTCTAAATTAAACTCCCATAAGGCTAGATATACCAGCCATTGTTCTAAGAAATGTGCTCCTGATCTGACACCTGTCCTCTCCAAACTATGAAACTACTGTCTCAACAACACCTGCTTCCCATCCAGT